AGCTGGTGGAGGTGGAATCAGAGCTGGTGAAGATGGAATCGGAGCTGGTGAAGGTGGAATCGGAGCTGGTGGAGGTTGAATCGGAGATGGTCAAGGTGGAATCGGAGGATCGGAGCTGGTGGAGATGGAATCGGAGCTGGTGGAGGTGGAGTCGGAGCTGGTAGAGGTGGAATCGGAGATGGTCAAGGTGGAATCGGAGGATCGGAGCTGGTGGAGGTGGAATCGGAGCTGGTGGAGATGGAATCGGAGCTGGTGGAGGTGGAATCGGAGCTGGTGGAGGTTGAATCGGAGATGGTCAAGGTGGAATCGGAGGATCGGAGCTGGTAGAGATGGAATCGGAGCTGGTGGAGGTGGAGTCGGAGCTGGTAGAGGTGGAATCGGAGCTGGTGGAGGTGGAATCGGAGCTGGTGGAGGTGGAATCGGAGCTGGTGGAGGTGGAATCGGAGATGGTCAAGGTGGAATCGGAGGATCGGAGCTGGTGGAGATGGAATCGGAGCTGGTGGAGATGGAATCGGAGCTGGTGGAGGTGGAGTCGGAGCTGGTGGAGGTGGAATCGGAGCTGGTGGAGGTGGAATTATAGGATGACTCCATTAAGTAAGACTCATAGAAATAATTCGGATAATAGAGACATTCAGAAAAATCAGAGAGAACTCTCTAAAATCCATTCATTTACAGGATTTTTGGAGAATTCTCTGAAAATTTAGACGTCTATTTAGTCAAGTCGTCAAGGTGAATAGTGGTTTGAGCATATGGACTACTCGGTCGTCCAATTCGACCTATCTAATCTAATCCAAGACCACCATGTGTCATTATTTGTACAAAATTAAAAACAAATTTCGTCGGAAATCTTAAGCAAATTGAAAAATATGACCGAGAACATGTGTCCTGAACGATTGATTATTATCATGCAACTCGAGTAAAGATCTTGGAACACGAAAATCTAACACATGCTTCTAGATATATACCAAGGAATGATCAAACATATTTTTTTATTCAGCCGCCATCAACCAGTCAGCGCCTATTCGACTGTCATTTAGCAGTTTTCACCAACCGCGCCTCAAATCCTAATTGATATAGAAATGCTTCTAATAACACATTTTTTTAGCTTCCCAGACCCCTCTATGACTTTTATGATGTTTTTAGAGAAAACTATTTTTTCAACAAATTTTTCCATTCTGAAGGAATTTGGACCGCCAACCACCGGTCGTTGGCCAGTCAGCGCCTCTTCGACTGTCATTTAGCAGTCGTTCAACAACCTTTTTTTGAGGTGGTCATATTTGAGGAAATTAAGATTCTATCAACATTCTATAATATAGTGGGAGTATGAGAAATTGTTTTCTGCATGATTTTCAATCAGAACCTTCAAGTATGTTTTCCAATCGGTACCGACTGTCCGTCGATGGACCGTCGACGGCCCGTCGGTTCTCCTTCGGCTGCCAACTAGCAGTCATTCGCCAGTTTGCGCCTCTTCAGCTGTCATTTAGCAGTTTTTCGGCAGTCCCCCTTTATCTGTGTGTGGGCGCGTGTTATAGCTGAAAGTCTTGGGTTCGACTCCTTCGTTTTGAAATTGTTTTTTGCTTTTTTCAATGAGATGTCTAAGCACCTATTTTGGGTTCCACATGGTTATTTGTGCGATTTTTTGATTTTTCGCTCATTTTTCAACTTTGAGAAGAAGAAATCATCAGTTTTTTTCAATGTAAATTAATGACACAATAATGACACAGAGTGGTCTTGGATTAGATTAGATAGGTCGAATTGGACGACCGAGTAGTCCATATGCTCAAACCACTATTCACCTTGACGACTTGAATGAATAGACGTCTAAATTTTCAGAGAATTCTCCAAAAATCCTGTAAATGAATGGATTTTAGAGAGTTCTCTCTGATTTTTCTGAATGTCTCTATTATCCGAATTATTTCTATGAGTCTTACTTAATGGAGTCATCCTATAATTTCCTGAAAATAATAAAAGGTATCATCCCCGTCAGTAAGTATACTCTCTTTAAAAGCCTAAACCCTTTTTTATTAACATGGTGCTCACTGAGTATTTTCCGAGTCCTGGAACCAGTTGAGCATCAGAATCAGTTCTGATGTTTTGATTGGAAGAGGAATGCAAAGGAGTATTGCGAAGTTCTTCTTCAAGTTGTGCAATGTGGAAAATCAAACGTTGCAAAAATTTGATTTTTCACAATCCGGCGGTATTTATAGGCACACTTGAGGGGGCGGAGTCGATTCCAGATGGGTCTCCCGGTGGAGTTGGAACCAGAGCTGGTGGAGGTGGAATCGGAGCTGGTGGAGGTGGAATCGGAGCTGGTGGAGGTAAAACCAGAGCTGGTGGAGGTGGAATCGGAGTTGGTGGAGTTTGAATCGGAGCTGGTGAAGGTCGAATCGGAGCTGGTGGAGGTAAAACCAGAGCTGGTGGAGGTGGGATCGGAGTTGGTGGAGGTGGAATTGGAGCTGGTGAAGGTCAAATCGGAGCTGGTGGAGATTGAATCGAAGCTGGTGAAGATCGAATCGGAGCTTTCAAAAATACTGTCATAAAACCAACAATCACCACCATAAAAGTCTACTTTACAGCCATAAAACAATGAATAGGTGAATCTCGTGTTGCTTCTCTCCACATCGAGTGCACAGGTGTTTGCGTTTGAATTCCGAAAGTCTATCGCGTGGTGTGTTGAATCTCGGGCACATACCCAGCATGTGCTCCGAGGTTCAGAGACAACAAGTCTTGCGAGCGCTACGATCAATGACTCTGGATTCTTCAAGAATCTTCAGTTGCTCTTCATCCCATTCTTCACGTTCGTCCTCTTCCATTGCTTCGTCAGGAGTCTCTAATTGCCAGATCTTGCGCTTCAGAGATTCCACGACTGAATTCATTGCATTTTGCCTTGCTGCTATCTCCGAAATCTCTTCTTGACAGATTGATGCTCCACCTGCAGATCTTCCATTTCGAATTTTCGCTGCTCGACTTGCTTCAAAAGCTCCTCTCGCTTTTCTTTGGCTCGATCCATATTCTTTTGTTGTGACTCACAGAGCTTCGCCACTTCGCTGACTTGCTCGTGCAAGTCATTCACCGTCGATTCTCCTTTGAGTAGATTTTGTTGGCATCGCTTGATCTCATCATTCTGCTGGTTTAGTGCTTCACTGCAAACAGTACATATTGTAGGAATAAAAAAAAGTGAGACTCGGTGTTTGCGTACTTTGATTCCCGCCTCCCCCCACCGACGCTCCGCCCATCGCTTTGCAAGTGCGGAAATTCATAAATTCAGAGATTCAGAAATCTAGAAATCCAGAAATTCAGATATTCAGAAATTCAGATATTCAGAAATTCAGAAATTCAGAAATTCAGAAATTTAGAAATTCAGAAATTCAGAAATTCAGAAATTCAGAAATTCAGAAATTCAGAAATTTAGAAATTTAGAAATTCTGAAATTCTGAAATTCTGAAATTCTGAAATTCTGAAATTCTGAAATTCTGAAATTCAGAAATTCAGAAATTCAGAAATTCAGAAATTCAGAAATTCAGAAATTCAGAAATTTGAAAATTCAGAAATTCAGAAATTCAGAAATTTAGAAATTCTGAAATTCGAAAATTCTGAAATTCTGAAATTCTGAAATTCTGAAATTCAGAAATTCAGAAATTCAGATATTCAGAAATTCAGAATTTCAAAAATTCAGAAATTCAGAAATTCAGAAATTC